ACTCATCAGATTTGGAACAAACAAGCAAACAGAGGGGAAAGAACCCAAGGAAAGGCACAAGAAACAGATATAGATATGAAGACCCACTCGTTCACAAGCTTAGGAAGCCCATAAAACACTAAACTGGAAGCTATAATATGTAACCAAAGGACCTGTGGGGTAAAAAGAGAGAAAAATATTTTTAAAAAATCCCTGCCATGACATGAGACAAGGAACCTCCAAAGAAGCTGTTGAGTTCATTTTTTGGTTGGCCATCTGCTGCTGGCCATGCAGCCTACCCTTAAGGGTAGTTTGTTTGCCCAGTGGTACTCCATCGGAGAAAACCAAATTTTTATTTTCAAGTGGTTAATAGTTGGAGGTAGATTATGGGTTAGGGATGGAGTCATGTGTCCAGTTCTTTTAGCTCTAGTACCCTAACTGGTGCAGACCTGGGCAGACCTTGCATATGCTGCCTCAGTCTCTGTGATTCCTGTGTGTGTTGAACCCTGTTGATTTAGAGGGCCAAGTTGTCCTCCATGCCCCCTGGCACTTACACTCTTTCTGCCTCTTCTTCTGCAGGGTTCCTTGAAGGGATTTGATGAAGACATCCCACTTAGGGTTAAGTGTTCTGAGGTCTTGTGCACTCAGCATAACATCTGGCTGTTGGACGCTGTATTTGTTCCCATCTGCTATAGGTGATTCTGAATCTGATGCCAGCTGAGCAAGGCACTTATCAATGAGTGTAGCAGAATGTCATCAGGAGTCATTTTATTGCCATGTTATTTTAGTAGAATAGTAGTATTTGGTTTTACCATAGGTTCCTGAGCTATCTAGTTCTTGGTCACCCCAGTAGTGCCAGGTATGGGTTCTAACTCTTGGAGTGGGCCCAACCCACTCAACCATCCCCAACTTTTATTCTCTTTTCCAGAGAGATTTATTTGTCCCTTCTTGTTCCTTACTCTATATCTAATCTCCGTGGTTCTAAGAAATACAGCTTGCGTATCATTGACTTAACAGCTAATATTCACATATAAGCAAATATACACTATATTTGTTTTTCTGAATCTGGGTGATTTTTTTTTCTAGTTCCATCCATTAGCCTGAATTTCACAATTTCATTCAACTGCTGAGTAATACTCCATTGTGTAAATTTACCATTTCTTTATCTATTCATCTGTTGAAAAATATCTGGGTTGTTTCCAATTTCTGGCTATTATTAGGACTGTAATATACATGGTTGAGCAAGTGTCTCTGTAGTAGAGGATATGTCCAAGAGTGGTATAGCTGGATCTTCAGCTAGATTGATTCCCATCTTCCTGATTTGAACTGCCACACTGATTTCCGTAGTGGCTGTACAGGTTAGCACTCCCACCAGCAATGAATGAGTTTTCCACCTTAGTATGCATCCCAGCCAGCATGAGCTGTCACTTGTTTTATTGATCTTAGCTATTCTGACAGATGTAAGATGGAATCTCAAAATAGTTTTGATATACATTTCCCTGATGACTAAGGATGTTGAATATTTCTTCAAGTGTTTCTCAGCTATTTGAGATTTTTCTACTGGAATTCCTTGTGTAGATCTGTACATTTCATAATTGGATTATTTAGGGTTTTTTTTTGAGATCTAGTAGAGAATGTGGAGTTTGTTGAAAATCTTTTTTCACTTTGTAGGTTTCTGTTTTATCCTATTGACAGTGTCCTTTGCCTTACAGAAGCTTTTAAGTTTCATTAGGTCCCATTTATTAATTGTTAATTTTAGTGTTAATGGTGTCCTGTTCAGAAAGTCTTTTCCTGTGATAATGAGTTCAGATCTATTCCATACTTTCTCTTCCTTCAGGTTCAGTGTATTTTTTTTTATGTTGAGGTTCTTGATCCATTTTAAGTTGAGTTTTGTGCAGGGTGATAAGTATGGATCTATTTGGATACTTCTACATATAGACCTCCAGTTTGACTAGCACCATTTGTTGAAAATGCTGTCTTTTCCCCCTCAGTGTGTATTTCTGATATATATATATATATATATATATATATATATATATATATAATATATGTTCGTAGGTGCATGGGTTAACATCTGGGCCTTCAATTGGATTCCATTGATCAACATGTCTGTTTTTGTATCAATTCCATGCTGTTTTTATTACTACAGCTCTGTAGTACAATTTGAGGCTGGGACAGTGATACCTCTTAAGTTGTTTGATTATTTGGGATTGTTTCAGATATGCTGCTTGGTTTCTTTTATATGAATCTGAAAATTGCCTTTTCAAGATCTGTGAGGAATTGTGTTGGAATTTTGATGGGGATTACATTGAATCTATTGATTACTTTTGGTAGGATGGCAAGTTTTCTTTACTAATCTTACTAATCCCTGATCATGAAACACCCTATACTTTCACTTTTCTTGTATACAGATGTGTTTGTTTCCTTCCATTGTTAGACATCAACCCCAAAGCTCTTGGCATGGTAGGACAAGAGAACTCTACCACTGAACTATATCCTGGACATTTATATTTATTCTTTTCAGTTTTACCGCATATTTTTCTCAGCTAAGTCCTTTTAAATCAGTTTAACTTTCAACATTTTCAAGTATTTTAATTATTTTAATAACATGTGTGGGGTGTGGGGGTGTGGCAGGTGGTTATACACACATGTGTACATGTGCTCCTGGGGAACAGAGGCATCGAAATTCTCTTGGAGTTGGAGTTATAGGCCGTTGTAAGCATTGCAAATGCATGCTGGAACCAAAGTCAGGTCCTCTGTAAGAGCAGTGTATGCTTCTAACAGACTTTGCACCACTTCTCCAGCCCCAATTTTCAAAAAAAAGTTTTATGTATCATTCCAAACCATTTCTATTTTAACTATTATCTTTCTCAGGTATAATTCTTTTCAGTTTCATCATTATTGTTTCTGATTTTCTTCTTTTAAAAACTATTTGGATGATTTGACTCTTGATGTTAATTGTTTTCTGACTTTTATCTTTTATGCTCTTTTTATATCCTTGCCTTAGAGCCAGAAGGAAACAGTCCTAGAATTATAGATACAGGTCCCAGAATTTCTGTTTATGAGTTGGTTAGAGATGAAGAAAGTAACAAAAAGAAATGGTTACCAAAACCTGGCCTTTTAACTTGTGCAAAGGAATAAAAGAGGTATGGTCACTAAAGCACCTAAGTCTGATAATGAACAATGTAGAAAAGTTTCTTTTTCTGTCACCACCGTGCAATGCAGGGAACGGCGCTGCAGCATCAGGAGTAGACCCAGAGATTCTGAAATGAGTACTTGCATTTTGCTAAAAAAAATGCTAGGTGGTCCATTTTTTATTTTTCTTTTGTGATGAAATTGACATCACAATTGTGATGAAATTGACAATAGAAGGGCTTATATTTCCAGAAAACTCATTTCAGAACCTGTGCAGAGAACAGATTTCGGAAAGGACTGAAGATAAAAAGCTCAACGAGGATCATGTCTCTGCATGTCAATTGCCATTTGGATAAAGCAAAGAGAAAAAAAAAACAAACAATATATGCAATTTGCTGAGAGGGAAGCTGGAGGCTGAGGAAATTTTTCCCAGTGTCCTGGAATGTTCACAGCAGTGGAGTGAAGAGAAACATTTGCTGGGAAGTGGTTGTGTAGATCTTTTTAAAGAAAAAGTGATCAGCTGGTTAGTTAAAATGGCATCTGTGTTTATACAGTCTTTCTGAGCTTCAGAGGAGTCTGGCCAAAGGTTGTCTTCAGTTTTATTTAGAATATTGTTAAAAGCCATGGCTTAAGCTGAAATAAACAAAATAGCAGTATTTGTAAATTCATGAGACAGATCTTGAATATTATTATCATCTGATCATTCCTCAAGTTGTCTTCTGATATCCACACTTACATTGTGGCATGGCCCTCCAATCAATCAGTCAGTCAATCAGTCAATTAATAATGCAGAAATCATGATTATGGTGATGTCCTTATGTCTATTTCTTGGATGAATAGAGTTCATGCAGAGCACAGGAGACTAGGGCCTGTCTTTCACCTCTCGATTCTCCATTTGCAATGGGCACCATGATGTGCACATCCAAAGATTTCAACTGTGTGATGAGGGGCTAGGGACATAATTCACCGGCTAGAGTCCTTGTTTAACATGCACGAAGTCCTGAGTTCAGTCCCAGGACCTGCTACAAAACCAGGCACAGGGAACAGGGAAGCTCTTGGAGAAAAAAGGATCAGAAGTTCAAGATCATCTTTGAGGCCAACCTGGGCTACATGATAATGAAATAAAGGATGTGTACAAGTGCTAGATATAACTTCCTTCTCCAATGTTCTCCAGTGTTAACCATATGTCCACATATTAATTGAATTATTGAATGAATGTCCTGGGTCCCCACGAGCTTTTTGGTTTCGAGTTCCTGAAGACTGAAATTAGAGAGTCTTTCGGGGCTAAGTGGTTTTGATAGTTAAAATAATAATAATAATAATGATGATGATGATGATGATGATGATAATATAGAAAAATTAAAAGTATGCCTCAGGCCATTGGAGATAGCTTAGAGGATAAAGGTGCAAACCTGACGATTTAGTTCGATCTTTGGGACCCATAAAGTGGAAGAGAGAACTGACTCCCTCAAGTTGTCTTGCAAACTTAAATTGTGGCACAATCAATCATTCATTCATGTAATCAATCAGTGCAATAAATTTTTAAAAATGAATTAACAAAAACACATGTGAAATGAAGTACCAATAAAGCTCGTCAGTTAAAACAGAGTACTGCTTGTGTGGTGGCTCGAGTCGGTTATCCAAGCTCTTTGGAGAATGAGGCAGGCAAATTCGAGACCAGCTTGAGCTACTGAGAATGCCAAACATACATAGTAAACTACAAATCCCTCCATTCCTTGCGTCGTTGTACAATCACGTGATTTAAGGAATGCGGAAGTCTTGTTTGTGTGCCCAATCGTGCCTCGAGGCTTGTGTATCGGGGGCAGGCTGGCCAATCCCTGAGCAGCGTGCCCTGCGGAGTCCCGCCTCCGCGTTGCGCTGACGGGTCGCAGGCGGATTCGCGGCTCGGGCGGACACGCGGCTCTCTGTGCCCTCTTGGTTTTCCTGCTCCCGGCCTCCGGTCTTCAACTCCACCATGGCTCCTAAAGGCGGCTCCAAGCAGCAGTCCGAGGAGGACCTGCTTCTTCAGGATTTCAGCCGCAACCTGTCGGCCAAGTCGTCGGCGCT